AATGCACATAGATTTCTTCTGCAAATTTGGACTAAAAAGGTTAATGAGATTAAATAGGGCGTTTATGTCTAGGATTATTGGCGGTCATTTTGGTTGCTTCGTGTTACCCATGCAGGGATCCTTCTAGACTATTAGTATGTTGCTTAGGAGACTTCAAAGAAATTCAGGGCAAAAAAAAAAAAAAAAAAAAAAAGTGTTGCAATTTTCTCATGGTTCACGAGTATACTGTCCGCACTAAAATTCGTTATCCAAGCTGTCGGAAGCCCAGTGTGGTGGAACAAATTACTAGTAGCGCACATTAAGTGATTGCAGTTTTGTAGCCGGTGTTACAAGGAGGACAGTATGTCACCTGTACAAAGTAATGGGGAACGGACTACAGTTCCTAGCGGACTACTATTCCTGTTATAATTAACACGCATTCACAATACGAGTATCAATATCAACTGGTAAGGATGCAATGCATTTCAACAAAGGCGTCTGTCTCATTTTTGTGAAATTGTAAGTCAACAAATGTGTCCTTCTCGGCTTACAATATACTGATATAGTTTTTTCCCTAAAAATTGGCTCCCAGGTGTCTGAAGCACGTGCACGTTATTAAGGGTGTCAGAAGCAGGTCATGTTAAATGTCTGATACCGGCGCAAAGTGGTTTCATATCTTCGTTCCCATGAAGCAGACGAGGTGTTAAATAGCATCATTTTTTCCTATTTGTTGCTGGTAGCTATAAAAAAGTCTCGCAATTTGTATAATTTATGTATATGGATGCACGTACATGTACGTGTCGAAATCCAGTTAGCAATTATGCAAACTGAACAAAGATTTGTCTCACACCCCCTTCATCTGAGACAGACTGCAAATGACTTAAAAGCAGATGAAACTCGACACCATATATCATAAGCACCGGAGAAAAGGGGGTCTAACTATCCCCCACTTTTAACCACGTCAGCCATAAATCAGAAACAGTGTCAGGTAGGACTCCCAACCCTTTGTCGTTGTTTTTATTATGATTAAACGTAACATATACTGAAAAGCTAATTATCTTGCCCTTTAAAATGTTTAAACCCCTCTAATAAAAAAAGTGATCCATTCTGTCTACCTTGTTTGAACTTGTTATTATGCCCGATGCGATCCGTCCTTTGGGAGAAAACGTCCTTATGAGAGCGCTCAGTTGTGGCAGGAATGGTAGTCCTTGGAATGGAAGTTCTGGGTCCCATATGATAAGTACAGGTTAGGGTTAGTCTGAGTACTGGGATTAGTATATGAAACGAGTGTCCCCTATAAAAAGTAACGGAGAAGGAACTACGGTTTTCAGCGGACTACCATTCCTATTACAACGTATTCACGATACTAATATCAATGCCAACTGGTAAGGATGCAATGCATTTCATCAAAGGCGAATGTCTCATTTTTGTGAAAGTAGTAAGTCAACACGTGTCTGGCCTCGCCTTTTCGGTTTACAATTTACTGCTATAATTTTTTCCACAAAAAAATTAAGCAAGTAAGGCACGCCAGTGACACCCACAGTTTGTGTGATAATTGGCCGTTATATTCTGTTTTATACTCCAGTATTACCCAGTATGGAAATAAATCAATTGTAATTTATGAGTGATATTAATCAGGTATATAAAAATCATATAAAATACCTGTCGCTGATTTGAGTGAGATGCTCACTAATTAATGGACTGACCCTCACACGGCGAGTTGAAATTCAAGGGATCCCGCACGCGTTTTATTATGTCTCCGAGCCACTTTTTTTCAGCCTGCAAAGCTTATCTTTCCCCATTCAGACCTCAAAGCGATATCGGCAGCGTATCTAATGTAGTTACCTATATAGTATTTCATTCTGAGCCTTAGATCATCGCAATGCCCAAGACTTCACATATCATGACTTCCTGCGAGAAAAAACCGTCTATATTACGTTTGACTGGAAAAAAGGATACCATTTAACTCAAACATTAGCCGACACGTACATTTATAAAATTATGTTGCTCGATCAAAAAAATATGTGACTTTTTTGTGGATAATGTAAAAACCGCACACGCCGTTTCTTCATCATCATCATTATTATTATTATTTCTTTCAAAAATCAAAATCTCAACTGAAAGAAAAGCGCGAGAAAATGGACCAGTGCCCTGAAACTGACGGAAACCCAACAAACCAGTTCTGGCAACGATTGCAGAGAGGACTGAGGCATTACGACTTGCCGGAAACCGAAGACAGAACGAAGGTGATTTACTTCAAATTTAAAAAGAAATCGTTTTCTTCACTGACTTTTGTCTGTCAACAAATTGTGTGTTTATTTAAGAAATGAGCCTATTCATACCCGTTTTATGTAAAAATAAAAAAANTTGACAGTAGCCTATTTTGTGCATAGTTATTTCCTGCTTTTTGTCTGTACATTTGACAGCTTTGCTGCCTTGTTATGATTAAACGTAACATATACTGAAAAGCTAATTATCTTGCCCTTTAAAATGTTTAAACCCCTCTAATAAAAAAAGTGATCCATTCTGTCTACCTTGTTATTATGCCCGATGCGATCCGTCCTTTGGGAGAAAACGTCCTTATGAGAGCGCTCAGTTGTGGCAGGAATGATAGTCCTTGGAATGGAAGTTCTGGGTCCCATATGATAAGTACAGGTTAGGGTTAGTCTGAGTACTGGGATAAGTATATGAAACGAGTGTCCCCTATAAAAAGTAACGGAGAAGGAACTACGGTTTTCAGCGGACTACCATTCCTATTACAACGTATTCACGATACTAATATCAATACCAACTGGTAAGGATGCAATGCATTTCATCAAAGGCGAATGTCTCATTTTTGTGAAAGTAGTAAGTCAACACGTGTCTGGCCTCGCCTTTTCGGTTTACAATTTACTGCTATAATTTTTTCCACAAAAAAATTAAGCAAGTAAGGCACGCCAGTGACACCCACAGTTTGTGTGATAATTGGCCGTTATATTCTGTTTTATACTCCAGTATTACCCAGTATGGAAATAAATCAATTGTAATTTATGAGTGATATTAATCAAGTATATAAAAATCATATAAAATACCTGTCGCTGATTTGAGTGAGATGCTCACTAATTAATGGACTGACCCTCACACGGCGCGTTGAAATTCAAGGGATCCCGCACGCGTTTTATTATGTCTCCGAGCCACTTTTTTCCAGCCTGCAAAGCTTATCTTTCCCCATTCAGACCTCAAAGCGATATCGGCAGCGTATCTAATGTAGTTCCCTATATAGTATTTCATTCTGAGCCTTAGATCATCGCAATGCCCAAGCCTTCACATATCATGACTTCCTGCGAGAAAAAACCGTCTATATTACGTTTGACTGGAAAAAAGGATACCATTTAACTCAAACATTTATAAAATTATGTTGCTCGATCAAAAAAATATGTGACTTTTTTGTGGATAATGTAAAAACCGCACACGCCGTTTCTTCATCATCATCATTATTATTATTATTATTATTATTATTATTATTATTATTATTATTATTTCTTTCAAAAATCAAAATCTCAACTGAAAGAAAAGCGCGAGAAAATGGACCAGTGCCCTGAAACTGACGGAAACCCAACAAACCAGTTCTGGCAACGATTGCAGAGAGGACTGAGGCATTACGACTTGCCGGAAACCGAAGACAGAACGAAGGTGATTTACTTCAAATTTAAAAAGGAATCGTTTTCTTCACTGACTTTTGTCTGTCAACAAATTGTGTGTTTATTTAAGAAATGAGCCTATTCATACCCGTTTTATGTAAAAATAAAAAAAAATGGTTGAATATGAATAATTCGATATTTTAACAACCCATTGTATTATTGAAGATGTTATTTCCTTTGTAATTTTGCACCCCATTTCCATAGATTAGATCGACCTACTTTGGATCGACCTAACTCCCTGGGGGTTCACGCTAAATAGCTGTCAGCCGGGCGGACACGAAAGTTAATTACCCCCTTAAAGCTTGTAGTAGGCGGGACGGACATTTAAGTCGGATTATCTGAAAGTAATCTAGTGAGACTCCCCGCGGGGATAGATCGATCTGAAATCTATGGGAATAGAGCCTTAGTTTTATTGCTCATGAAGTAGCATTGTAATGGGTCCATAGGCCCCTACCAGTCTAATCAGAAATCAAGCCACAAGGTTTTATAAGGCAGTTATATTCAAAATTTGGAGAACAATGTGCTTGCTGTAAAGAAGATCTCATATATTTCCAGAATCCACGACCACATTCAACGATTGAAGAGATCACAATGGTGGTGGTGGGGGAACCATTCACCTGCCTCAGCTTGTGTGTAGAAGGCGGGAAGCAGTGTCCTGGTGGTTTGTTACTGGTACCCTCTTCAGCATGGCTTCAGAAAGAACCCTCCAACAGTTCCAATACTCAAGGAGATCTGCAAACTTTACGAGTACACAAGGCTGTTACATTTGACTCTTGTGGTAGAACATTTTTGGACATTTTCAACCCACCTCGCCGTGTCACTTACTTGATGAACCTTTCCACGGGTAATTCTAATATATTTACATATAGTGTACAGTGCATACATACTTATACACAGTGCATACATATCAATGTCCTTTAATTTCTACTCATTTATCATGTATAAATCAATTCTTTAATAAACACAATAATTAGATAACATAACTGCACAGTGTATAAGTAGCCCTCTCCCTCTCTCCCTCTTTCCCTCTCTCTCTCTCTCTCTCTCTCTCTCTCTATATATATATATATATTGAAAACATCTCTTTTGGTAGGTGAAAACTTGTGCGTTGCCAATAATCTGGATTTCGAGATGGATTTAGTATGCCCAGTGGGAGTCACAGAGAAGTTAGCGCGGCGTTTAGATAATCGAATTGTCACGCGCGTTCTGACAGCGGACGCTGGCGTAGCCTATCCTGACACCCTGGCATTCTCGTACAGACCAAGAATATCCTACAATCCTGGAACACACAGTATATTTGTGATCCCACTTGAAGATGTACGAGAGAGCGAAGCGACGATCACGAAGGAGCTAGGTGTTTTTATGGGTTCTATGTCGAATAAAGGGATAAAAAAGGTATCTATTTTTTTAAAAAGGTATTTATTTTCGTATAGGTTGGATGACGAAACTGTACTGACATTTCACAAAATCATAAATTTTGAATAGTAAGTCAATGGCATTTTATTTAATTTCACTGCAACTGGAATATAATGTTATTTAATATCTTTTGTTTTGTGTTGTACAAAAATCATACAAAGTATAGTATAAAATGTAAAACAATATAATTCCGCTGTGTTTAACTTACCGCTGAATCTTGATGAAGGCGATAATTGACAACTGCTGTATTTAGTTAGGTTATTTATATTTTTCAACTGAAGGTAGTCGTGAAAGCGCCAGGGTCAGGATCACCTAAAACGTTGTATTATTCTACCAAAGACGTAGCGGGCGTTTACAGCGCTGTGTGGCAGACGCTGATGGCCTTGGAAGAGGCGGAGATGCAAGGGAGTGTTGTTGTGGAGTCATTCTGTGAGACCGCTAAGCCATTGCCAGTTCCTTGCCGGGATTATGAAGAACGCGCAGGTATATATTGTGAGGTTTTAGACACAGTAGCATTTACAACATAAATAATTCTTCTCTTTTTCCTTTTTACGCTGTATCCCCCTTTGTTCAACAGAGGATGGCGACCGTCATGTGTAAAAATTAGGATTAGGATGTTTTTTAAAATTAAAATTAATTTTGAATATTATTCATTTGTAATTTCATTCAAATATAAAAACGCTGTCTCACTTGCGAGCTCTTAAAATGGCACTCTTCAATATATTCTACAATATTTAGGATGGCTTTATTAGTTTATGTGCTCTGAGCTGGCTGCTTCTGGCAGTCTGCTTTGTTATAACCAAGGCTTGTTTACATCTTTGCATTTTTAATTTTCTGTTATTTGTTTCAGTCGGTATCGAGACCAAGCCGCTGTCCAGCACAATTCGAGCTGTCGTCTGCTCCACTCCTGACGGGAATCAGCTGGTTTCAGATATCGTCTGCGGCGTTGGCCATGCAGACATGACGCTCCATTGTACCAATACATTTCCGTTGTCATTGGAAAGCTTTTTAATTCAGTGGGGGTTACAAGATGGAGCCAAAATTAAGAAGGTAAATGTACATGGGGAGAGGTAGAGCTATCTGGACATTATTCATTTTTTAATTATTTAACATCATTACACCTCATGATACTTTCTAGCATTTTTTGGGTGGGGTGGGATGGGAAGCGGGGTGGGGTGGGGTGGGGGCTATCAGATGTAAGTGTTTTTCTTTTTTGCCCAATACCCTATAGAACCATCTTAATCCATTTGTTTTCTATACATAAAGGTCTGAGATGAGCCATACTTCATGTCTGAGATAACATGTATCGAATTAACCAGACCCCCTTTTGGGCTTAATACAGGGAAGCATCTTTTTTAAGGGAGCCCTGACGTTGATAACTTTATTAGAGTATTTTTCTTACATAAAACCTTTTAAAATATCATTTTTAGAAAATTATCAACATTCTGGGAATTCTTATAATGGCATTCGTCGGTAAACAAAAACAAACTGAAACTGAATAAATCTAAAAAAAAAAAAAGAAACGTTTCGGTGCAGAGTCTTAAGTCAACAAACATGATAAAATTTTATTGTTTCCTTGAAAAAGTAGACAGCACAATTAAACTCTGTCTCCTCGTAGTATTTTATACTGGAGTGGGGTCAAGGTCACAAAGGTTTATAAGGTCATCGTTTCATTTAATTTCATATCCATTTTATTTGATTTTTTGAAATTCCATTTCGTTGTCGAAGAATAAAGCATGACAAATATTTTTCTCATTATGATTGATAGATATGGAAATAAATTTTACCGATCCAAATTATCGTGCATCTGCTACGTGTTAAAATTGACAAATAATATGACATTCAGATAAAGTCAGTGGTCAAGGAAAAAGCGGAGACCATTCTTGAAAGGTGGATGAGGTACGAAAACAACATGAACAAAGAAGAACGCGGGGCATTATCCGCAAGTAAAAGTGTTTTAGGTATGTATATATCCCTTGAANTCTAAAAAAAAAAAAAAAGAAACGTTTCGGTGCAGAGTCTTAAGTCAACAAACATGATAAAATTTTATTGTTTCCTTGAAAAAGTAGACAGCACAATTAAACTCTGTCTCCTCGTAGTATTTTATACTGGAGTGGGGTCAAGGTCACAAAGGTTTATAAGGTCATCGTTTCATTTAATTTCATATCCATTTTATTTGATTTTTTGAAATTCCATTTCGTTGTCGAAGAATAAAGCATGACAAATATTTTTCTCATTATGATTGATAGATATGGAAATAAATTTTACCGATCCAAATTATCGTGCATCTGCTACGTGTTAAAATTGACAAATAATATGACATTCAGATAAAGTCAGTGGTCAAGGAAAAAGCGGAGACCATTCTTGAAAGGTGGATGAGGTACGAAAACAACATGAACAAAGAAGAACGCGGGGCATTATTTGCAAGTACAAGTGTTTTAGGTATGTTACTTATGTATATATCCCTTGAAGAAGGTAGGTAGGTTTTTATGTCTTGTTTTCAATGAGATGAGAAGTACAATTTACCTTCTGGATGATATTCTTCATACATTGAAATAAATGGAATGTGCGATAAACTGGCTCGCTTGCTCTAAAGGCATAAGTCATAACACACCACAAAGCATTTGTGTCGCAAATTAAGAAAAAAGTGTTTATCTGCAAAACGAGTAATATCAATTTGCGTACCGTCTTAAAAGGTGGGTACATCTTTGACCATGCAATTACGAAAACGCTGTCTACGTGGTCCAATTCCATGTAAGATATTGCCTATTAAAAGCTGGGATTTTTTGTAGGTGTCAATTTTATCCTGACCCAAAAGGAAGACGGCAGTTACGACGCCGTGGCTATAAGTATCAATAACAGCAGGAAAGCCATCGCGAACACGCAGATCTACGAGTCTCAAAACCCTGTCAAGCTTGGGAGTAGTCTACGACCCCTAGTGGCAACCATGGTGAACCGTAGTCAGAGATTCCTTCTGCGAGGAAAGAAAATTCTTCTCATAGGCGCCGCAGAAAACTTTGTTTGGGAAGCCGGGGAAGAATATGATATTAAGGTAAATTTTTTAATGGAAAGGTTTTTTTATCAATCATTCGGGCGAATGAAACCTCATTTACCTAACAGATGCTATTATAGACTTAATCGATTATACATGTACATGATTTGTACATTTTGTCTCTGTATTCACAATGTTTTATTAAAGATCTATGTTAGCCTACCGAGGTTTATTAATTTTCGAAATGCATTGTTTATAATACTTTGTAAAGCATGACACTTTATTCAATGGTAGACATTTGACAATATATGTGGAATTTGTCCTTACCTATAGGGGTAACCCCTCAATTGTTTGAGGTGCATGCTGTTTATATGTGCTTCGGTCTAATATTTTAGATAGTTTTGATCGATCCAAATCCCAATCACAGTGCGGCTAAAAGAGTTCACAAGTTTATTCAGTGTGATATAGGAGACCACACCCATGATGACGACAATACGGAGAAGATTGTTCAAATAGTACGTGCACATAATCTAGCCATAGACGGCTGCATGACCGTGGTGGAAGATTACGTTCCATTGGCGTCACTGGTGTGCAAGGCACTGCGCATGATCGGAAGTTCACCTGAGGTCGCAAGGATATCCAAGAAGAAAAGCCTCACCCAAAGAGCTTTAGAAGAAGAAAGCTCTAGAAACAAAATCCCTTTTTTGCCCAACCCCTCTCTGTTTGCCATCAAAACTCTCGAAATTAACCAACCCGGGGATGTGACGGGCTCGTCAAACCTTATCCAATACCCCGCCCTTTTGAAGCCAGAGTACGGGTGTTGTTCCTTTGGAATAGCCTTAGTCAAGGACGAGAAAGATTGTATGAAGCGCTTTATAAGCACCCAGAATATCCTTAGGATGTCGGAGGAAATATGTTTCGGGATGAATCACGGAAACGAAATGCACTTAGCTGAATATGCACAAGGAATCAAACACGGAGTAGAAGTGGTCGTCTTTAGGGGCAAACTTATAGCGGCATTCATCTCAGATTGTGGTCCTTCACGCCTCCCACTGTTCTTTGAGACTACAGCATGTATGCCCTCGTGTTTACCCCTTGATAAGCAACAGCAGCTAGTTACAGCAACGTCCCAATGTCTTACCGCAATTGGTGTCACCGACGGTGTCTTTAGCGTTGAGTTTAAAACGACTCCTACGGGACCAAAACTGATAGAGATAAATGGGCGGGTGTCTTCGGTGTTCTATCGCAATTGGATACGGATTATCTACGAAGTGGACATCCTTTTCCAAAATTTTCTGATCGCGTGTGGGATTCAACCGTGCGTCCAACCGCTAGAGCCTTCTTGCCAACTCATGGGGGTTACGTGTTTCCAAACAGCTCACGCCAAAGTGCTGACACGACCGGGAGTTGCTACGCCAGATATCCTTGTCGAAGCTCACGAGCGGGGAGAAATAATATTCTTCGACATTAGCCCGCCTGTAGAGGATGAAAGAGTTCACGAAAAGGAATTATGTCAGATAGCCGTAAAAGGAGAATCAGTAAGTGATGCGAAGAGAAAGCTGTTGGCAATATGTAAGAAATATGGCGTCGACAACCCAGAGTATCAAGTGGAACACATGCTTTCCACATTTGTTGAGTTTCCAAAACTCTAAATGAAATGTCTGCCACTTATTTGAAAATGGATTATACTTTTTCTTAGAAGTTTTGCTAAGTTTACCGGTAGCCGGAACGGTGCGGTTAGAATAATTTCAAGATCAATAGATACCCTTCCAGCAATGTGCATAATAAGGGGGGTAGGTGTGACACTTTTGTGGTAGAGGAGCACAGGTATATAATAATCTAAGATTCTTGCCTAAGGAAAATAGTGGCTGAATGTTGTTTGAAATTATAAAACACTGTAACTTTTTGATCTAGGGCTCCGGTAAACGTACTATTTTCAAAAATATATTTAGTGATTAATTATATCAAAATAATGGTTCAAGGATGAGAGGGCTTGGTTTGTGGTCTTTACTCCCCCCGACACATTTCTGTGTTCCGTTGCAATTTGCAGGAAGCTACCCCTTTTTTAATATTCAGACAGGGCATGCTCTGACTGGATCAGTGGATATTTCTGAAATGTGTACTACATGTAGTACTTTATATCAACAGCAAGTTCGATATGGAAGACCTGTTTTCCAGTCACTACTTGGAAGCTGCATGCATGGTCTTTTGAGCACCTTATTTGGATATTTTTGGTGTTGGACACAACTGCTTTATCATTAGTGTCTATTATGGTTATTGCCGTTTCTTTACTGTGCTTTACTTTTATTTGCTTGTTACCATTATTATGGATTTTCATCATTTTGGTTGTTGATACTATGTATTTACATTAGAATGTAGTATCAGATAGTTAGACCCGAAGATAAATTTGTTCAAAGAGACTGCATATCGTAAAGAACACTAACATGCCAGTAAGGAAAAGAGTACAAGTAAGAGAAACAAAGAGTGCAATTACTGTATAGTTACATGTGACAACAAAAGAGCCACGTTATTATATTATTGTGATTGTATTACTTGAAGTTGTAAACTATATGGTCCAGTTTCACACCGTTGCATAATTAGGAAATGGCAATAATTTGATTGACAGGAAACAATGGAGAGTTATGGAAAAAACTTAGTAACAATAGATTGCGTGAGAGCATAAAACTTACGCTAAAACTAAGTTAAGGATTGAAAATAAATTTAACAAAAGGTTGTTATGGAAAGTTTTGAAAGTAACAAAGAGACAGTGTGAGACATCGTGGTATTTGAATGTGGCGTGATAGGCTTAAAAGGAATATTTTATGATTGTTAAATCTGAATGCCCGAATAAACTCCCTGGCTGACAAAAACGGGTTTTTCTCCTCACTGTCTCCAAGTGGTAAAACAGCATTGCCATACCATTTTTTTTGTCAAACAGTACTCAACAATTGCCTTCAAGTTATAAAATAATGTCTTGTCGCTTGAGAGAGCTGATAACAGCCAGATGAAGCCAGACGCACCAATGACCGTTGTTGATGCTAGACACTGAATATGGGGCGTGTAACTCTTTCACAGATGATAATTTGGGAAATATGGAGATCAGATCCAAATTACGTTTTAATCGTTTTTGCATGACTTAGCATCAGCCAAGTATTTTTATTTGCTTTATTAGAAGTATTCAAGTAAAGAACTGTAATACAATAACACTGAAAAAAAAAATTAAAAGTCATTAACACGATTGAAATTATTGTTTCCTAATCAGTCAGAAAAATAGGGAAAATGAAAGAAAAAATGATTCGGAAAAAAATATGAAATTTGAAATTTCAAGAATAAGATATAGAGAGATGGTGGCGCATTGGCTTGCGTGTTGGACTGCTCATTCCATTATTAAATGTTCATTGCCTCGTGATAAGTGAAAGTTGAAAGAGAGAATAAGGAGGAGAATTTGCGTGTGTGTGTGTGTGTGTGAGAGAGATAGAGAGAGAGAGACGTAGAGGGAGATTATGCATTATTTCTTGATTGATCGACTTGTTACGATACGATGTTAGTGATATTTTGTGGTAGGATGACAGTACTGAGGCAGTATCTCTACCATAAATCCGCCAAAAGCGCCTCACTGCGACTACAGTCACGCAAACACTTGATTTCTATAACCACTTAAGTCAATTACTCAGGGAGCTTATTCGTGACGAACTTTGTTTTTCATCATATGTATGTGACATGCGGGATGAAAACCCTTGTGAAGATCAAGTTTTAAGAAACTGTTCGCGTAGGGGGCATTTTGAGAGCTAAATGTTTCCACCGAAGTGCACATACGCAAAGCCCATGTTGACAGATTAATGAATTAAACTGGCCATATTGAGAAATGCAACGGAACCTTATTAAAATATGCTATAAGTGGGGTTTGAGACTAAGATTGTTTTCAATTATTTGGTTGATTTTATGCAAATTTGCACGCAAACATCTAATGTATGTGTGTGCTGAAAAAACATCTGTATCATCCAATGAAGTTAGAATACCACTTTGTCAGTCACTGCTGCATACAGCCAGAGGGTGAATGACGACTTTTTTGCTTGAAAATGTATGGTAACGGAAAAAAACAACGGGCATGAAATTGACAGTGATTCTAAGGCCCATATTCTGACATGACGAATTTTGTATGGGTTGTTTTCACATTCATTCGTCTGAATCAAATTTGACATCGACTTTGTGTATGGCATCCAAGGAAAACTACAGATTTATTGTATGTACGTATTTGGTTAACAAATAAGAAACAAATAATTTATAACCACACTTTGCCGTTAATTTAAAAGAGTTTTTTCAGTCACTGAAAATCTTGACTGGGAAGTGATGTGTTTCACATTTAACACGAAAAACTGTTAATATTGTGCGTGATACTGTCATGCTAAATGGTTCTCCTCAACCGAAGCTCAGGGATACAGTGAAGAACATTCTGGTTTGCAGTGTGTGTTTTGTCAAAGTCCAAATAATAATTTAGATATTGTCAACCGGACGAATGTAACCGGAGCAGACGGCAGACAGGGGCCTCAAAAGCTGTACAATAAACAGTCCGAGCATTCTCCGCTTGGGGACGTTTGTCAAAATCTGCCAGGACGTCCATGTCCAGTACTACTTCTCCCCGTTTACCCCAAGGTGTTTCTGATTCGGAACCGCTATAAATTTTTCTGAATGAAGGGAACATTCTTTTCAATGGAGACTTCTGCACATCTCTCGAATTCTGATACTGGATTCTATTGTTTGCATCTCCCCTGAAGCGAACTTGGACGTGGTTGGCCATATCGTAGTTTCGCAGCCGAAAGGCGTAATCGGGAGTGACAGCTGGAAGTTTACAAAACTTTGTTTTACGACATGTATATTTAACATGATTCACATATCTTTTAGAAAACATTAACTGTTAAAGCAAATACATATTATACGGAAGCCAGAAACACGTGCCCTCTTGCCAAAACGCATGCTTCTGTTGTGAGTGCTAAATTCGTATGCAATGTTTTGCTAAGCGACTGGCTCGAGCGTCTAGGAAAACTAAAAGGATATCACACTTCTCTGGGAAAGGCAAAACTTAATTTCCCAATTAAAACTGAATAATTGAGATGGAATGTGGGTCATTTTGACAAATTGGCAAATTCGGTATGAATGCAATAGAGACGTACGTCTTTAATAATCTTGCAGGAAAATGAACTACCGCTTCACCTTGCTTTCTTTTGGTTTACCAATTTGGGTAATCATCCTTGTAATGCCATTATGATTAAATGGTAAAAGGTTTAGTGTTTTACAAAAATAACATTTATGGTACAGTGCGTCTTTTTTGCTGTATAGATATATTCCATTTGGTGCATTTTTGCAAGCTGAATCAACTATATCACTCGATCACGTTAATGATTTAATTGAAGATTTCATGCACAAGTTACATAAATCTAACCTTATATACAACCTTAAGTTCGATATGTGATTGTAAGTAATTAAGCCCGCTTCACAAAAACCTTGCCTTCACAAAACTTGTTCATGTAAAGCAGGAGGGTTAAAGCTTTCATGAAGCACGTTTATATACATGCTTTCCTAACCTATTCACGCAGCCGTGCACTTATATAATAAGCTTGTCTAATTTAAGCAAAGACAATAATATTTGACGGCAGGATTAACATTTGCAATGAAACACACTATCCAGACAGAATAATACCATACCGCTCTGGGATGCTTGCAAAAAGTATTTGGAAAAGTAAAATAAAATAGATTTAGTCTTTATACCTAGTGGGTCTTCAAAAGGCAGTTGATCTAAGGAAAAATAGGAAAGTGTAGAAAAAATATTCATATGACTAGAAAAAACATAGCCTATAAAGATATTTAAATCATCGCCTGTAAGAATTTTGCCCGTGTGTGAATGGTGTGTGGAAGATGTCTATGTCTCTCATTGGCTTGTAAATTTATTGTATTAACTTTTGTGATATATATAAACATTTGCAATAAGGCATGCTGTCTGTTCATTTATTTGTCGAATTCAAATTGATTTAGGGAAATATTCCAAACAACGCACCTTCTACCTTATCATAACTTAACAATCATTTTTTGTTCCATGAATTGTCGCAACACCACTGTAACACCAAGGTGTATTTTATCTAAAGTCTGTTGAGAAAACTGAGACAAAATGCAGATAAATGACTAGATAGATACATAGATAAAATTGAAACTTAAGAAAAAAAAACTATATTTACCTGTTATCGAGTTCTGAATTTAATAGCTCAACCCCAACGATTATATTGATCCTAACAGTACTATCCCGCTACGAAAATGACTTGAAACTAAGAATTCAAGAACGGGCTATAATGGAGCAATGTTAAACATTGGTGATTGACAGATAAAGTTAAAATTACCACGAAATAGTGCCATAGAGTATAATGGCCTCGCGCTCACTGTATGCGTTAAACAGAAATCTCATTTGGTACTATAAAGATATTACAACATTTTGACAACTACTTACCAAAGGCGCAAACAGTAAGGACCAGTAGTACTGCTGGATTCATGATTAGTACAGATGCCTATTGCCTGTTTAATCCAGCCGTCTCCTTTGTGAAACTTAAAGTGGTGTCGTCTGCTAACTAAATATATTAACACGCGAGGGATTGTTTCTTATATGTAATGGTCGTGTTGACGTCCGTTTTTACATGAGCCCATTTTGTTAATGAACTCGTGATTATCCTAATTCCCTAAAGAGACCGTTGAAATGACGCACTTTTTTCACTCATTGTTCGATATCAGTGCTTTTGTGTTGCATGCAAAAGTGCAAATTCAACGATTCTATTAAAATGGCCTAATGTATAAGACGTGTACAAATATTAGTAATATTCGCAAAGGCGTCCATAACAAACGTGAAAATAAATAGCGGAAAGACGACAATCCACGCTCTTCAACGGAAGTATAGTGCATTTCAGTTCCAAAATGATTTATATTCAAATTGACTTTGGTTTAGTCATGTACAAAAACAGGACAGGGGAACAGATTTGATCATTATGCTCCTTTAACTTCTCCCTTTCTCGACGGCAGCCCTGTGATATGTTGGCCTGACCCACTCTTCCCCTCTCTTCAAACCAAAACTGTTCTAGGGCGATCTTTATTAAAATAAATTACATTTTATACCTATATGTAGTAATTACAACTACGCGTCGTCTACTGTTTGCGACGTACAAGAGCGTACTAACATCGAGGCGTAGCAATGAGGAATTGAATGAAGATTATATCGCCGAGGTGGAGCCAAGACTCGCATGCAGAGAGAAAGAGCTCGTGACATTCAGTGGAACAAAAAGGCAAAGTCGTTATGTGATGTATGTGTCAGACAACCTCATGCTTTTCACTGACAGTTGTCTTTATTATTATATACAACGCCTAGATCGGGATAAAGTCAGACGAGAGCGTGCCACAGGGAAATTTGGCAGCGGAGAGAGGAATGAAAGAGGAGACTTACTTATTGAATGGGCGACAGCAAATAACTTGAAGATCACGGATGTGAAAGTGCTAAACAGTCTGGATGCGGGCAGTGACCACGGAGCAGTTATGGGAGTGATTAGGATCAATGTCAGGAAGGACAGACAGAAATACCTGTCAAATCCATCAAAGAGACCTAGTATCGAGCAACTGGTCATAAAGAAAGACGAGTTCCAAATCTTCCTAACGAACAGATTCAGTGCACTAGAGCTAGAAGGTGAAGATGGAGTAGATGAAATGAACGATAGAATAACGACCACCATCCTAGAATGTGCATCAGAAGTCGCACCGGCCAGTAAAATGAAGGACTCAAAGCTCTCAACAGAAACGAGGATTCTCATGAAGAAAAGACGGATGATGAAGAAAATGGAGGTAAACAACAACAGGGACATCAGCAACAACATCGAATATGCAGAACTGGATAAGACCATCAAGAAGAAGGCAAGGGAAGACATCAGGAAGCAGAACATGAAGAAGATAGCAGATACCATCGAAAATGGAAAGAGCATGAAAAGAGCAAAGATATCCTTTCAACTAGGGCAGGATAGAATGCTGACTCTTCAAGACAAAGATGAAAATGAGCTCACCACACAATACCAGATATTTTAACGAGTAGAAGAATTCTATGAAGAGTTGTATGACAGCAACAAGGGAATAGAAATCTCAACAAAGGCATGCGATATACCAGACATAACAGCTTGGGAAGTAGAGTCAGCAGTCCAGAAAATGAAGAACGGGAAGGCAGCAGGAAATGACAACATCAAAGCAGAAATGGTAAAAGCAGGAGGAGATATCCTATCTCAGGAATTAGCCAGGCTCTTCACAAAGTGCTTACATCTGAAGGAAATTCCTGCAGCATGGAAGAACGCCAACATGATCATAATGTTCAAAAAGGGCAATAGGAAAGACATCAAGAACTACAGACTCATCTGCCTACTTTCTAATTTGTACAAGATTTACACCAAAATATTGACCGAAAGGCTAACAAGACAACTAGATGAAGCGCAGCCAAAGGAACAAACAGGTTTCAGAGGCCAGTACACCACTACTGATCATATGCACACTGTCAACCAGCTCAAAGAGAAATGTCTCGAGTATAACATCCCACTATGTGTAGCATTCGTTGATTATGAAAAAGCCTTCGACTCAGTAGAAACCCAGTATATACTGGCATCCCTGCAAGATCTAGGGATCGAAGATGGATACGTAGACGTCCTCAGAGACATATACACCGATAGCTCTGTAACAGTCAAACTACACAAGACCACCAATAAGATCAGGATCAAGAAAGGTGTATGCCAAGGAGATACAATCTCTCCTAAACTGTTCACAGCAGCATTGGAACGTATATTCAGGGATCTAGACTGGCAGGACAAGGGCATAAACATACACGGTACCAGGCTCAATCACCTTAGGTTTGCAGATGACATCATAATAGTAGCAGATGATGCAAAAGACCTCGAAGAAATGCTACAGGCGTTAGCAGATGAAAGCACAAAAAGTGGCCTAAGGATGAACACCAGCAAGACAAAGGTGATGTTTGGACCACTAACCACCCCTTGCACAGTGATGGTCAACACCGAAGAGATAGAAGCAGTAGAAGAGTATATATACCTTGGGCAACGGTTCAGCCTAAGTGATCGAACACTGGAGAAAGAAATCCAACGAAGGATAAAAGCAGGATGGGCAGCATATGGGAAGCACAATGACATCTTCAAGAGCAACCTTCCTACCTGCCTGAAAAAGAAAGTGTTCAATGTTTGTGTGCTGCCGGCAATCACCTATGGTTCAGAGACCTGGGCACTGAATGCCTCCATGGAACACAAGCTACAAGTAGCTCAGAGAAAGATGGAAAGAATTATGTTGAACATCAGTCCAAGAGAGCGGAAAACGAATGTATGGTTACTCAGGCTTACAGAATGGACCCCAAGGTATGGACAAAGAAAAAGAGGAAGTCCGGTCAAACGATGGAGGGATGAATTAGATGACTACTGGAAGTCTTGGAAGAAGAAACCTTGGCCAAACTGGAAATCTGAGGCTCAGGATAGGAAACAATGGAAAAAGCATGCTGAGGCCTTTGTCCAACAGTGGAACACTATACGCTCTAAATGATGATGATGATGATGACACACACTGGACAATAGAAGTGTCACCCCTACTGAACCAATACTTTGGGGGAGATAAATGACTGTGGAATGATATGCTCCTGGTATTGTTTTATTAACATCAAATTTCACGAAAAGACCAACAATACAATTCCATGGTAAAGATGTTTTATACTCATTAGTCACATTATAAGTAGACCAGGCATTATAACTTTGATTACTCTGATTCAGGGAGTGACACTTCAAATGTCCAGTGTGTGTACCAGTACCACCAGCACTCGATCCCTAATCTAGATTTAGCAATTGGACTATGCCATATCAACCGGAACCAAGAACACCCATTTTGATTATAACCATAATCTACCATGATAGGCAATCTGTAAACTGAAAAATATGTCGCCAACAACATAAGGCAACATACAAGCGGGGTGTAAGGTAATGTTTGTGAATTATCCTTGGATGAAAAGCGGTCATGTTTGTGTCTGATCAGTTTTCTGACCTTGGTTCATTAGCGTTATGGTTATCATTATTACTTTTTAATAAAAGTTTAATGTCGTTTTGGATGATTTGTTAAAATTGGAACGAACGATAACGTCAGTACACATTTATTTTCATAGCTTGTCACTTCGCGGTTTTAGCAATATTGATGAGAGAAGTCTAGGCAAACCATTCCATGCGATCATGTCTAAAGCCAATTAAACCCCAGTGAAGCAAAGCCTACCTACCGCCCTCCCCTCCAAATATATTTTTGCGAAATTCCCCGTCTTGCATGGCGACCAAAAACCAACGCAAAATAAAACGAACATTCATTTTTAATTCAGAAAATATAGTGCAAACCGTTATCAAGAAACCGCGGCTATAACTTCATTAATTACAATTCTGCACCAAACATGTCCAAACCAAAGCCATCTGTTTCAGAGCCATTCCAAATATTCCTGATCAATTTATAATGCTAATCGATCTTAAGAAATGCTAGTCACGTCTAAACGTGACATAGACGTTACGCACCTTTACCGCTAAGAATTATTATCGTCGTCATGCTCATACAAGCTCAGCGTATATACAGTATGTAGGCATCATTATCATGTGAATCAAATAATCTTGTCAAAAGTCTCTGCTTTATGGTTTCATTCTTCAAGATAACTGTTTTCTATTGGAGCAAAATGTCTCTGGCCACCTTCAACCCGTCTTTTTACTTGTCGTATTCAAATGCTTCCAGAAGTCTGTACACTTTATGTGATCCATTACTCAAAAATCATGTTAGATGATTTTTTTCTAGCAGACATAAGCGTAGCATGTTTCAAATTGAGACTATGGCTTTAAACAATGGAGTAAGCAAAGTAATGCTGATCAATTAAGTATTGCTGATCTATTTTCAGCAATGCTATAATAAGTTATTATTATTATTATATTTGAGAGTTATTTTTATCATACTTGTATATCTCTCTGATGAGCAGTAGTGCATAAGGATTTTAATAAATTGAAATTGATTAGTTTTTTTAGTAATTGACACTGGCCCTGCACTGACAGACCTAAAACTACATGTAGGGAACTGACATTTATGCATTCAAAACTAGCCATTCAATAAAGGGCACCGGAGGAGCTCAGCATTGGTCAAATTGTGCCGGAAGTGTGACGTCAAGTGGTGTAAGACGCGAAGCTGAGTGGTCATTTTTAGCTGGAGGTGAACGGGAGAGAAGACGTGGACTCGGAGAAAAAAACAGTTTTTCAAACAACATGGTAACATAACATTTCTTCTTTACGCATTTTGGGCAGAGAATACTTGTAGAAATAATAGGCACATGATTTGAAAACGTGACATGGAACTTGAAGGTGCAAAATCGTGCTCAATTTGCAGACAACTTGTTTTGAAATACATGCTGCATCGACCGCCAGCGCGACAAAGAGCGTAAAGGAAAAGGAATTCCCGGGAGGCTATAAATCGTTGTCATGTGGAATTTTGGCATTTATACAATCTGATATGTCCCTATATAAGTATTTTTGGGTGTTTTATGGTATGGGCTGCAATTATAACGATGTTTTAGGGTCTTTGAAGGACCTTGTGAAAACCAGGAAGTAGTTCGTAAATGACAACTGAATCGTACCGATCTACGACTGCTGTGCAAAGATGTATCTTTTATTAATATTGTGACGAATTTTTAGATCTTTATTTGTCCATCTGACATGAAATTCCGCACATATGATCACACTAATACATCTTTTACACCGGGGTAGGCACTAAGTGACCAATGCCAAGACAAAGGTGACATTCTGACAGCCTCTAATCTGAGCTAAAAATCACAAGTACGCGACTGGCATTTAATGGCATCTTACAAGATCTTCCCAAAAAGATGCAAAGAGAATTCAGGTGAGCCGATCACAAAGCAGGTAATTAAGACTAGCTCTAAGTTACTAATTATTGACATTATTATGCAATACTCAGTTGGAAAAGCGATTCTGGCAGGTAGATAAGATATAACATGACCCGTTTCTTAAGGCTATTGACTTCCAGACTGAGGAAATTGATTGCCAGTCTGCCTCTTTAGGGGGTTGGGGGTGGGGGGGAGGGTGGGGGTCGGAGGATTTCCCCACCAGTAATGCTCCTTGGCTCATGACTGTACTATTGAAAAAATGGTACTTTTGGGGTTGGGGCTCAGCTCCCCTAGTGCCCCTTCTCCGTCGCTTTCTAAACAATTCTTTTCTTTATAGTCCTATAGTGTATGCACCCCAGTGCAGTCCCTTGATTCGTCTAGGATCGCATTCACAACGAGTTGAGCCAGGTTTTACAAATCCTGGGGACTAAACATGGCGGTCGTACATGAAAGAACACCCGCCTAATCTTNGAGGCGGAGAGACTATTAAAAGATTAGGCGGTTTTTCTTTCATGTACGTCCGCCATATTTAGTCCCCAGGATTTGTAAAGCCTGGTTCAACACGTTGTGAATGCGATCTAGGACTACTGTATATTCGATTTATCTTTAGTGGTTGTTTCCGAACTGTATCTTTCTTCAGTTAGGGGTCTGATTTAAAAGCAGTACACGTAATACAAACTAAATTGCTTTATAGAGATTATGGAGTTATGAGTTTCGAATAAAAGAAAATCTTGCTTTTGTTTCTAATAGGCTTTTTTAATATTCCCTCAGTACATGCTATTCCAGACAAGTTAATGCTACGCCGGATCACGTTACAATTGTCGCATCTTGATTTATCTCGCCACAAATGTAGCCAGACTTTCCCAAGACTTATTCTAAGAACCATTATACAGAGATGCCAGCCCTAGAAAGAATATATCCTTTTATGTGTGCACATAGCGGTATATTACATACAAGTAGCCAACTGAAACTACAGTGACTGTATAAGGTGGCTATCATTCTGTTGAATGAAATATACTGGGCGGGATAGTATATATATGACGTATATTACTTTAAACCAGTAGTTATGTAAACGTAATTCGCATGGCATAACCTAAGCACTTGGCACATGTGGCGTCCCCGTCCTAAAAAAAGTAGGGGTTGCGCAGCTCGCTCTCAGGCAAGACCGACTTAAGTACATGGATTTTCTAAAAAAAAATGCCAATGAATCCGCTTTTTCAAAGTTAGTTATATGATTTAAACGTGTTTTTTTTTCGTTACAATATCTTAAGCGAACATTACTTTAAGATGACGGTCCACATGGTCTGATAACAAGTACATATTTTAGAACAACTGCGATAACTGCGTTTTTTTTTTTTTTTGTGGTAAAATGGAATATGTTATATTCATATGAGTTGTTTAATTACAATGTATTTATTTCATATGAGGAGTTCTAATCCATTTAACTTTCGCCTAAATAAGGAGCACCAGTGATGCGGGAGCTCAAAATATCACTTTATCTGCACACATACATGTTCACAAAGGTAAAATGTTTAGTCTCGCCACTTCTCATTTATGATAGCAAAGCTTGCAAATATACAGACACCGAATAGGAAAACATGCACTGCATAATATGTTATAAACGTAGATATAGATTTTGACAAGGAGGTATGGTCCCTTTACCTATTAGACATACAATTTTGTATGTTTGTTAAGCCTATATATATCTAAACTCAACGTGTACTAGTACATGTGTGTGAAAGCAAATTATCCTGTCAAAAAATTTTCTTGTCAAACTTTGCTGATTTTTGTTTCATTCTATATGATAGCTGTCTTCTTTTACAGTTAATAGTCGTTGCATGCGATGGCCACCTTCATCCCTTGTCTATCCCTGGCTAACTCAAATGCCTCTAAAGCCTTGTCCAGTTTAAATCGATGAGTGATCAGCGGTTTGATGTCCACTTTGTCAGAGGTCACTAACTCGATTGCGATTTCATGACTGAAATAGAGGACATACAATGTACTCTTTATACATATGCATGTATTATATGAATGGCATATACATGGCGCTCTTGTCAACTAAATCATCATATACTGAAATTGTTTTTTTGTTTTTTTTTTGACAAATGTGGCCTTTATTTCTTATCATGTTCCAAACAAAGCGTTTGTTTAAACGGTTGCCGTGTACAATTAAAGATAAATAAATAAATAAACATGAGACATGTGTGACCACCAACTCAGAGTTTCACATATATATATATATGTGTCTGAATAAAAAGGGTGAAAAGTTATTATATTTTTATCCAAATGAAAGAAAACAACTTACCATTTTTTGTAGGCAAAACAAAAACATATGTCAATTTCATTAACTAGGGCATGGAATGCCGGGATGGTTTGGTTTGTATTTCCAATTCCCACTACAGCCACAACTTTACCTGGCTTGGTAGCCTTGGAACATGAAAAACAAGATTCAGTACAGACAAAGAACTGATTGTTATATATCTAAATGTTCAACGATGGAAATTTGACAAATGGTATTTCTAATGGCCACTTTTTAGTATTTAACTGTGGTCTGCACCTATCTATCACCTTAACTATATCCCTCCGTAAAAAAGAAGTGTATTGGTTGCGTTGAAAAATATGTAACAATCGCATAAAAGCAATGTGTCCATTTATATACATTTTGTAGAAAAATACAGTTAGGACGTAGAACGGTGCTCAGTGAAAAGGAGCTTCCAAGTGCTTCAAATGTTTGTTATTTCAGTAAAATTGTTATTATTATTATATCTAAAAAATAATAATAATAAATTTGAGAAGTTGTTTCTTTTTATTATATGCTGAATATCTTTCCGATGAGCCGTAGGGCATTAAGACTTTAATAAATTAAATTGAGTTCATGGGTGTGACTCTGGCTCTGCGCTGACAGATCTGAAACTAGGGCAATGTGATTTCCACTCAAAACTATTCATTCAATCGTGCGTTTTCAAAGAAAAAGACTTACCAAAATGGCCATTGACAGAGCTTCCTCGGCACCACTGCACTCAATGGAAGCTTCGGCCTCGCACCCCATTAAATCTTTTACTTTGGCGGCAACGGTCTGGGGGTCGTCGCTAGCCTTGACAAGGAGAGTGTGAGTTGCCCCCACTGATTTAGCAAAGTCAAGGCGGTGCTGGAGAACATCTGCGCACACAAATACATTACATACAGCTGTACAAATACATGACTCATAGCTTACCAGGCTTGGTTAGTTAAAATGGATATGGAATAAATACACGAGAGAGAGAGAGAGAGAGAGAGAGAGAGCGTAAAATGCTAACCTGTAATGTAAACTTTCGTCGCACCTGATGCCTTCGCGGCGAGAACCGTTGCTATCCCAATAGGGCCTACGACAAAATAATAATGCACATTATGGTTGTAGCAAAAGATTCTTAAAACTACTCATAAAAGGTAATTCTTACACACACTTAATTTTACTAAATCAAATTAGGTCAGGATAATATGTTATTTTTCACGTAGACCGACAACGTTATGATATTCAGACTGTGCTTTCAATAGAGCTGAACTTTACTTAAGAATTTCAGTTATAGTCATTTTGTGTTCCTTTTTTTTCGGTATTTCCTTTCAAAAAAGATAACAATATGTATAGGGCTTTAGGAATAAATATTGGCACCACACAATTGCCACTAACCGCGTTTTTTTAGATTATATGCACATCAATTCATCATTCTGTAACGCTTACCATTCCTGTTATACGCACACAATTGAGAGACATCTTTAATGTGTTCACGCTTACAAATGCATAGACATCCAACACTATCACCGTTTGTTGTACAGTATGTGCGCCAGAACCAAGGTCAACGCCTGCACGGGTACCAACTTGCAGATTTAATAACACCTGTGATAAAGCATACATAGGCCTACTCACCGGCACCTGTTACAAGAACGCTAGAGCCAGGCTTAATGCCTGCACGCTCACAACCATGAACACCGACTGCCAGAGGTTCCAATAACATTCCTTCTTCCAAGGTTAAGCTGTCAGGGAGTCTTAAACATGAAATGATGCACACATAAATTGGTTTAAAATGTTAAAACGGTAAAAAAACTACAATGCTGGCAATGGTATACAAAACATGGGATATCAGTATCACATTTTGCCCTTGCATGGCAATTCAAAATTTCAAACCAACAGATGACATCCAAAGACAAGACTCGGCTATGAATTGGCATTTTAATTTCTATTAGTACCTGTGGCAGAAATTGGCCGGGTGACAACAAACTGCTCGAAGCCCTCCGTCTGACCCTGGAGTTCCACAAAAAGTAATCCTGTTGCGACAAATGTTGTAGCGACCATCTACTACACATAACTCGCATTTTAGGCATGCAGCCGCTGGCTCTGTTGCCACTCTGTCACCTAGATGTTTGAAAATGAATAGATGAGATCACTCTGTCTTTCATGGACTTTCTTTGACTTTCATGGAGGTAAGATATGAGGAGGACACTGTTAGAATGCACAAAAAAAAAAAAAAAAAAAAAAAAAATTAATAAATCAATATAAACTCGACCTGAAACACCATCAATTTATTTGAGAGGACTTAAATTAAAAAAAAAAGAAAAAAAAACTTCATTATCTTGAGGGTTAAATCGCTGGTTAACTATGAAAGAATTCTGAGATGAAAAGTGAGAAGTTGAAAATGCTTTTAAAATATATGTCAGCAAAACGGACGGTCAGCCCGTAGCTGCAAGCGAGTTGCCATGCAAAGTTCATGAACTCGGCAAATCCAACTGTGAACAAAGAAATAGCTTACTACCGTCAAGTTAAGTATTTACCAATTTTCAGGCTTGTTACTCCCTCTCCGATAGATGTCACTGTTCCACTGAACTCGTGACCCAAGACGAAAGGTTCTTTGATCACCATAGTGCCAAGAGCGCCCTCTCGCAGTAAATGAATATCCGACCCACATATCCCAACGCAGGCAACGGCGATCTGCACCTCTTGATGTGTCGATTGGAATGAATAAATGCACTCGACTTATTTGTTACTATATTGAATCATGTAGAATATTGTAGGTGATTCATGTAGCAATACGCTTTGTCTAAAGAAAAAAGATTGCATGTTCACAAATAACACAGAAAAAAATCGCAAATTAAATGTGTGTAATGTTTGTCGAAAAACTCCTGTTACAAATATGAAATAAAAGCCTGGTATCAAAGCTGCAATTTACCTCCCTTTCCTGGCAATGGGACTGGCCTTTCTTCCTATTTTGATAATTACATGGATTAATAGACAGTCAGACAGGCAGACAGACAAACAGAGAGACGAACAGATAGACACTAAATTACATCAGAATAAAAAAGATTAATCAGTTATATGTATTTAAATAAATAATGAATATTCCATTAAGTATTTTAGAAAATATACGGATATATCAAGCACGTTGCAGTTTTACACTACATGTTATATCAATATATGCATACCCTACACAAAACTTACCATTCGCAAATCATCCTTCCCGTAAATGACTGCTGCAAGCTGCATCTTGGAGTTCGACATTTTCAATCACTGAATGTTCCAGTTATACTAGGTTGTCTGCAAACGTACACCGTAGAGATAAAGAAGCGCACAGCTTCTCATTAAAATATTTTGTTCAATTCTATTCTTCACATGTGCACTTTTAATATTTATCCTGACATTTAATTGTCATGAGTATCGTGGAGTCCACTAGGTGTTCGATATGCAGCTGTCGTGAAAGAATATTTCCATGTAATTAGATCGATCTAACAGGATCAATCCATCTCCAAGGGGTTTCTCGATAAATTGCTTTCAGGCATGCCTACTGAAGCGGCTAACGATAACTAATTAACCGTAGCAGCTTCAGTAGGCATGGCAGACATCTTAGACGCTTAAGCTGAATGTAATTTAGCTAGAACCCCTCGAAGATAGACCGATCCACAGTTAGTACGATTGGGTCTGGGAATGGTCTCCTACATTGTATGTACCCTAGTCCCTGGATCCGTCTAGGGCCGCTGTATAATCGATTTATATCTAGTGGTTGTTTGCGAACCGTATCTTTATTCAGTTAGGAGTCTGTTCAAAAACAGTGCCCGTTATACACACTGTGCTTTAATGAGGTTATAAGGTTATGAGTTCCCAATAAAAGAAAGTCTTGCTTCGTCACAATTGTAGCCAGACTTTCCCCAGATTTATTTTAAGAACCCTCCTACAGAGATGCCAACCTTAGAAAGAATTTAACCTAGAGAGTTCATGTGTGCACAAAGCACTACACCACATACAGGTACATGTTACCAACCGTAAATGCAGTGCGTGTTATTATAATTGGGGCTAGCAGCTCGGTTTTCACATAACCGCCTCTTAATACAAATTCAAGTTTTATTTTTATATTTTTTTCCGGGGCGGCGGCGGGAGGGGGGGGGGGGAGGACGGTCACTTCGTAAGATTTCGTACTCAGAACCGAGAGAATCTGGAGAGCGCGAGACAAGATCTACATTGTATACTCAGGTTAGTCTGGAGAGTTTCCATGGAAACATTGCCTCATTCCAGTAGCCTAATGTTGGTTTCTAGATTTCTAGCCTAGTGTGCACCTGATGAAATAAAAACTATTCATTTCTGTGCCATTTAACCACATTCCCTGTATATCCAATGACGCTCCATGTCGACGGACGTGTGCGTCTAATTTCTGGGTCCCATGAAACAAAGCTCCAATTAATTTAATGTAGTTTAAGTTTTTGTCGCCTTCTTAACTTCAGTGACTGGTCGAAAATTGGTCCTTTAACTCAGGTCAAATGTTCTGGGCTATTATGACGAAGGCTTATACGCTATACACCATGGCATGGTATTTTAAAATATACTGCTTTGTTTGGTATTTTTTTCACGTTCAATAAAAAATGAAGGTGACAGCCGAGCGTTTGTACATGCAGTCTGCTAGCATACATTAATTGTACAGGTGTGACAGGAAAGGTATTCCGCTAGAAAATGTAGTCTGTACCCCATTCCTCTGCACACGTGATCTTTGCCCCATGTACAAACCCCAATAGGGAGACCAACTCTTACCTGTACTAGTCAAATAGGGCCCCGGGCTTCCATTCCCGTGACACCGGTATTCTTAATTTATCCTGAGTCAATCACTCAATATACAACCCAACTATCGACTTCTATACGTGTGTCAAGGTCCGGACTCTCGTCAAAATACACATAAATACATACCAGCACTCACTCTCTTCGGAACAACACCTTATAGATTCCCAACAGCAACCTGACTGCAGAAAAGAACAGATAGTCACACTGGGTTCACTATTTTATCTGATATGTGGGTCAAATTCAGCATAACGTTGCACGTAGCGTTTTTTTTTTTTTTTAATATATAATAAGGTTTACTGTTGCGGTGTAGCTCACTGTATCAGTCCTAGCGCCAATACACTCAAGTGGATAACAACTTCATTTTGGCGGGAAAAATAAAAAAAACAACAACAAAAAAAAACAAAAAACGCCGATTTCCCATACTTTTTTACGGTTAATGAATCCGCTCATTCTAAGTTGATTGATTTTAAACCTATTTTCGTTATAATCTTTTAAGCGGTCATTACTTAAGGTAGCCATCTATGAAGATCCACATGGTCCGATGGCAAGCACATTTTTCAGAATAATTGCGATTACGGCCTTTTTGGTGGTCAAATGGGATTTATTATTTTCATATGTGTTGTTTAATTACAATGTATTTATTTCATTTGAAGAGTTGTTATCCCTTCAACACCAATGCTGCGCAAGCTCATACGACCATTTTAACATCACACATCCATGTTCACAAAAGTTAACTGTTTAGACTCGCCATGCGCACTTCTAATACATGGCACCAAAGCTTGCAAATATACAGACACAAAATAAGAAAATGATCCACCTATTTGTAAAAAATAGTCCGATCTTGCCGATTTTCGACCCAAACCTACATCTTCCCTAACAAATCCACAGAGAATTCCAAGCATAGAGTGAACAATTGTTTCAGACAGTACAGGTGACGACACAAAGTGTGAGTCTGGAAATAAAAATGCTCAAGCCCATGACATCCCACATACAAGAAATCATTGCCGTCATGACATCAAATAGCCACCTGTGTTTCAGTAAGTGACTGGTGTGGCAGGAATGGTAGTCCGCTGGGAACCAGAGTCCGTTTCCCATAACTTCGTCTCATATACCAACCCCAGTACTCCGAGTAACCCTAACCTGTACAAATCATATGGTACCCCGGACTTCGATTCCTATGACTGCCATTCCTGGCACACGGTCTCAATCGGGGACTGACTGACTGACTGTTGCTGTTATTTACTCACCGACTCAGGTTAAATGTACTTACAATTTTGCAATAATTGACCTTGAATTGAAAAATAAATACCAGTGACAACTTTTTAATATCCTGGCGTATATCGGTCATGCGGTTAAAAATTAGTTTTAAAATTAGTTTTATTTCATGTCAGATATATTATGTCCGATATATAATCTTCCTCCAGGTACAGTGTACACGTTACATGTACGTATCAGTGGTTAGAAAGAGGAGCCTGTTGATTTTGCAACTTTCCATCGTTTATTTCTAAAATCTAAAGTTGCTAAGTATAGTCTAGGCAAACAATTTGGTCTGGTTGTGCCTTATAATACCCACGTTTTGAGAGAGAGAGAGAGAGAGAGAGAGAGATTGCTTTCCTCAGGACTTGAGCAGGTTTCTATTGGCACAAAAATGCTACAGTTTACAGTAAAAGTAAAAAGTCAGTTCTTCCATTTTGGTGCAATAACTTTAAAGAAACTAGAGTAAGTGTGGGACAGCTTTACCATTACAATGTAACTGCATAATCTATATAATAAATGAAAATAAAATCAAAAACTTTTAAATTAGAATTTGTTGCTAAAGAAAGTGGAACAAGCATGATCAGATCAAATACCTAAAGAACATGTCCCCTGACAGTAATCATCATCATTTTCATATATCATTAACAATATTAAATCATGAAGAATTGGCAAAAATATTAATAACGCCTTCAATTCTTCAGGAATCATTGGCTATAGGTTCTCCAGTTAAATGAACACAATCAAAAGAGGTATTAACAAACAGTGCTTGCGCGCTGCCAGAAATGTGTTCTTTCAGTCACACCTAACACATTCATTGCTCTTCACATTCGTTACAGTAAATCATTCAGCTTTCTGGAGGTTTGAAGAGTGCAGTCTGATAATACTGTAATTCCTTTATGCTCTCTCTTATATCATCCATGGCTCTGAAATAAAACGAATTAAAAAACATAATTAAACCGTACTATAATTGAATGATTTATAGCAGAATTCTATAAATAAATACATGCAGAAAGACGTTTATTATGCAAACAAGGGCTACATGTACATGTACGTATAAAAGCCATGATCAACTATCGTTGTATTACCGTCAAATAAAAAAAAATCCACCAACTTCTGTACAATGTACATTTTTAAGCGTTGTAACCCAAATACTAAAAAAAAAAAAAAAAAAAAAAATAGCCCCTATTCCAATAACATTCCCATTACATTATGTTAGTACTGTATTTTACCTGCAACGCTTACCTATGAGTCCTTGCTTTAGGAGGGGCTTTCTTTAAGTCAGTTGGGTACCACCTCCTGAAATACAGGTATATCAAGACAAATTAGTATAGTTTTGGCTAACATCACTGACCAGACTATGTGTGATGAGCCAATACTGACAATTAAGCTACTAGTACTAGCGGACAATGTACTCAAAGGTCTAACACTGAAGTCTACCTGTACATAATTCTCTATATTTACTATTATACATGTATATTAAACTGATGATCAAGCCAAAGGGTTGAAAGTTTATAAAAATAAAACAAGAAATAATGAATTCACTACGACTGGAAAACTTTATCTTCATATTGAGCAATAATATTTTCAATAAAATATAAGAATGCTTATTTAAACAAAGAGAGCTAATAATCAACAATATATTGAACAAGAAGACTGAAGACTGTGAATTGTGAACCTAAAACCCACCTGCAGAGCTCCTTGATGGTGCTGACATCTATAATTCTGTAATGCAAGTGCCCCATGAAATCAGGCATGTACTTATCCAGGAACTTTTTGTCAGCATGTATGGAGTTCCCTGTAAAAAGCAACATATTACAACAACATGTACATTCAGTTGCCAGACTTTCCTTACGAAGATTTCCTATAAGGTACAGTACTGTCCTAGATAGGAGTCCTATAGGACGACCGACAGAATTCTTATCGAGTCCCATATAGCCCTATATTGGATGACCTATAGGATATTTTCGTAAGAAAGGAGTTAGTGACCTTAACTAAGTCTCTATGTTAATATGTTTGCCCAGTAAGTGCAATAACTTTAAAGAAACTAGAGTAAGTGTGGGACAGCTTTACCATTACAATGTAACTGCATAATCTAAATAATAAATGAAAATAACATCAAAAACTTTTAAATTAATTGTTTGAAATTTGAATATACACTGTATCTTGTTCTGTAGAAGAGAACAAAGTCACTGGGCAAAATTTCTGCACAGTTTTGCTGCATAAATTTACAATCTTGAAAATAAACAAATCTCAACTTCGGTCATGTTTTAAATTATTTTGTAATGACCTCAGTCAGTAATGGTTACTACTGTACCCATGTTGGCCACTCACCGGCCAGTGGACAGCTTCCAGCAGGGGTGTGGTCCTGAACAAAAGCCAGAACCTCTTTCTCTGCCTGCTGCAGAGATATTTGGCTATCTTTTACTGCCTGGGTTAGACCTGACTGTAAAAGATATAATTGTTTAGAAACTATCATCAGGCAAAAACATTTGAAAAAAAAAAAAAAAATATATATATATATACACACCTTGCTAACTTGCTACCTAAGCTGTGAGGGTTAGTTGAGCAAAATGAAGAGATTCCATATAATTACTAGACTAAGTATATATTAGTTCATATTGTTGTATGAACTGATTGAAGAACATGGGAGACAACGTAAAAAGGAAAGATAAAATGGATGGAGACAGTGAGAGGGGAAAATGAATGTTTGGTGGAAGTTAAGATAATTTAGTGGTGAACCTTAGCTTTACCTTTCCATGGTGTTCTTTGCACCAGTCATTCATGTTGTCCATTATGTGATCAGGCTGATGAATAATAAGATTTGGACCCTGCAATAACATGTGATCAAATCAGTGTTTTTTTATGTACACATTTTGAATTGTGAGTTAATTACTAACAATCTAAAGCCTAAAGAAATGGTCCACTTACCATGAAATGCTGTTGTGCACGAGTAACCGAAAAATACAGCAAAAATTGTTATTTCAAACATGAAATGTTTAATTTTAGGAAGGTGAGAGTCAGCAACAGGGTAGAATTTTAAGTAATTGGAAGTGGTTCAACAGTGTTATGATTTACCTTTGCCACAATGTTAAGTTTTCCATCTGTAACTAGACAAGCAATCTCAATGATGTGGTCATTATCAACGTCTAGTCCTGTCATCTGAAAATACAGGCACATAACTTAGTGTGGATATTTTTAAATGCCTTAAGAGTTTGTTACAGAGGGTGGAATGAGCTAGGCCTTACCGGCAGTATGTATATGTACAGGCCTAGCAAGTCTAACCCCATATCTAGCTTGCTGTCAACTGCTTCCTCGACAGAAGAGTAGTCATCCAAGTCCATTATCTTTTACCTTGGTATATACTGTATATGTATGGGATGTATGTCATCTTCATTAATCATATCATCAACAAAAGAACAAAGAAATCAAATCAATACTGTAAAACATAGCAAACCAAAAATATTGAAAATAGGAAGATACAGGTGAAAGAGAAAACCGTCGTTACCAGAGAAATTTCAGTAACAAATACAACACAACTTACATGGCCAGTGCATGTACATTTAATGCACAGTAGCAAAGAAGCATTAACGCAGTAGTGGTGTGGTGCATATTTGCAGTAGAAATGCAGTATAGCCGACTGCAATTCTACTCCAAAAAGTACATAGGTTTGTACAGAGAGGAGCATTCATGCAGTAGATTAGCAGCATGATAGAAGCATGTTTCAAATATGCTAATTAGCTGCCAAAACGAAGCAGATTTGAAGCATGTTTGCAGTATGATTGCAGTACATTGTAGTCTACTGCGCTGGAGTATCTACTGCGTTTTCGTGCGGGTAGTAGGCCTACTACATTGTACTAGGGTAGCAGTAATATTCATCTTACCTCACAATCCACCCAAACTATCCTGTCATGTCCCTTTGCGTCATCATTCAGCTTAGCTCTTTTGACTTCGGTCATGATTCCATTAGCTTGCCGAACCAAAGGTTTAATACGAATCCCTCGCGGTATTATACGACGGAGAGCGTACATGTGCACTGCGTTGAGAGGGGGTCGACACTTTTAGGGAGAGGCGGATGTTGATTAAAATTAGCTTAATCAATTATAGATTGAGAGTTTTCTGTGAAATCTTAAAATACGATGATCCCACATCAAACGCATAAACTGTTGCATATCATTCAATACAGCAGCTTAATTAATGTAAACGTAAATTGCATGTTTTTCATCCCCGTTACACACCAGCTCCCGCCCCCTTACAGTAATTGACCCTCAAGTAAAAGGGCTCGGCGTGTTTACCGATATTATAGCAATAAGTGTCAAGAGAGTCTTAACCGATACCTGAAGAGGTGTTCTCCTAAGTAGGGGCTATAAGCACTGATATGGATGTGTTACCGACAGAATGTTGGGATTAGGGGCAAGATATCTCCTAGAAGGAGCTCTAGTGTTATCCAACTAATTGAGGATTCTATATATATATGGGAAAGATTACAGGAGGCTTGGACATATTAGCATGATCCGTGAAGAACCCCATCCCTTGGTATCTGTTCTTCTTCGTCCTTGATGAACCGAGGTCATTATATAGGCTACTCGTTGATTCGGGATTTTTAATTAGGATTTCCTGCATTTTAAATGAGATGTAAATAGGCCTATAAAGATTTATTTACTGTGATTTGTGAATTATTATTTTTGTTTTTTATGAAATGTACGTGATGACTACCCCCCCCCCCCCCACCAAACACACTCAAACACACGTGTACACACACACACACACACACACATACCTTTTGGGATATATGGCCTCCCCCCTCCTCCCTACAAGACAAGCCTCGGACAAGGGAAAAGAAAAAGATTCTATAAACTTATCTAAAATAAGTAGGGGCCTAATAGAATTAATTCTAGAGATTCGTATTTACTGCCTCACATACATTCTTTTTGATAACAGATAAATCTCCAGGATTCAGCGACTTCATTATTTAACATTTATACACATATCATTTCAATACGGTAGCGTCAAACTCTTACCTAGGTCTAATTGCGATATTGGGGTAAAATTGAAAAATCGGTTTTCCCAAAATTCTCCCTTACCTGTATACCCTCGAACACCGTTTTGAGGCCAGTTTAATGACACCACTTAGTACCCCAAACGATTTTTCTTAAAAGCCTTAGTTCAGATTTTATCGTTGATAAAACAAAATAATGCCTTATACACTGTATTGTATATGTGTTACTGTATATGTGACACGCAGTAAAAACGAGACGGTTTGACCAAAGTGTTATATAACACTGGCTATATACTGTATAAATATTAGGCTACAACACATGTTGAATCTTGTGCGGTGTTGAGACAAGTTAACAGCGGTGACCTCTAATGGTGAGATACAATGCGTAGAATACTTGCATACATGCATACGTAGTAAGTAAGTTTAATTATCATAGTCCAAGCAAGTCTATCCTGATGGCAGCTACATGTACATGTAAATACGAATTCACGCCGAAGAAAGCAGCACAGGTGAGGAGTATAGAAATGTACATCATCCCCGCAGTGCAACGGGTCGGTAGGCGTTAAGTACTACGCTAAGTTTATTATCGGCGGTATTTCAAAGCCTAGACAGTTTTAAATTTTATTTTTGTGAAGTTTTGTTTCAAAGGAAAACATGACATTCACGTGGGTACTAGTAGGATTATATCGGTTACTTAACCGATGGCCAGCTGCAGCAAACAATGCGGTCAGGCTAGAATTAATGCTGTGCCCACTAAGGGTTCAAAAGGTTAACTTTTAGGGGAAGTTTATCTCCACTGGTGTTTACAGGTATAGTGTAAGCCCACACAGACGCACCTGTTAGTAAATAATCTGTCACAACAGCGACTATTTTCACTTTGTTCTTCTTGTGGACTGCACGCTACTCACCCTTTCCCCTTGTCCGAGACTTGTCTTGTAGGGAGGAGGGGGGAAGCCATATATCCCAAAAGGTATGTGTGTTTGTGTACACGTGTGTTTGAGTGTGTTTGGTGGTGGTGGTGGTGGTGGGGGTAGTCATCACGTACATTTCATAAAAAACAAAACTAATAATTCACAATTCACAGTACATAAATGTTTATAGGCCTTTTAAGCCTATACATCTCATTAAAAATGCAGGAGGGGCCTAATAGAAGTAATTCTATAGATTCCGTATTTACTGCCTCTCATACATTCTTTTTGATAACAGATAAATCTTAAGGACAATAACTCTTCGTACGAGATCTATATTTCACAATAAGTACATTGTAAACAACTCATAGAAATATAATATATTCTGTTTTACCACAAAAACTGCAGTTATAGCTATTATTCTGATATCTGAGCTTGTCATCAGACCACGTGACCTCCATAGATGTCTATACTAACTTAAACTGTAGAAATGGATTCGTAAACCATTGGTAAGTATGGGAAATTGTTGTTTACTCCGGGAAAATTATTTTTTTGGCCAAAAACGAAAAGTTATTATCCCTTTAAATGTATGAATAAAGTTTAATAGTGTGAAGAACATAAATGAACAAAATACCTCAATTAGAAACAGTGCGCTTTTTTATCTCTACAGTGTAAGTTTGCAGACAACCGAGTGTAACTGGAACACTCAGTGATTGAAAATGTCGAACTCCAAGATACAGCTTGCAGCAGTCATTTACGGGAAGGATGATTTGCGAATGGTAAGTTTTATATATATGCATTTTTATATAAAACGTACTGTAAGACTTTGCAATGTTCGTGATATTGCGAGGGATTCGATTTGAATTTTAGTTTGATACATCAGAGATCGATACATCTTAAAATATGTGTACGCACGTCTGTATTAATGTATTTTTTTATTGAAGCATATTTATGAGAATGCTTATTTGGATAATTAGGAGAATATAAATAATTGATTAATAATCTGTATTAGTATTCTTATTTAATTCATTGTGTTTCTGGATGACTGTGTATTAATCAAATAATTATCAAAATAGGAAGAAAGACCAGTCCCATTGCCAGGAAAAGGAGGTAAATTCTAACTTTGATACTTATAGTGCTCGATTCATATTTGCATTTGAAATTGTTTAACTGTGACGTTACAAAATGTCAATTTGGATATGTTTGTGTTAATTGTGAACAAATTTGTTCTTTACACTAAACTTATATATACCCTGGTAATTGCTATCACTTTCATTTCCCCATGATTCAATATTTACAAATATGCATTTCAATTGTCACGTCAAGAGGTACAGATCGCCGTTGCCTGCGTTGGGATTTGTGGGTCGGATGTTCATTTCTTGCAAGAGGGCGCTTGTGGAACGTTCGTGATCGAGGAGCCTTTCGTCTTGGGTCACGAGTTCAGTGGAACAGTGACATCTATCGGAGAGGGAGTAACAAGCCTGAAAATTGGTAAAAGCAAACTCATGACACTAGTTAGCGACCCGGTATGTCTTTGTTCACAGTTAGATTTATCGATTTCATGAATTTTTTATGGCCACTTGCAGCTACGGGTTTACCATTTTTGTTGATATATTTTAAGATAACTTTTTCGAATCACTTTACATTTTAGAGTTCTTTCATTGTTAAACAACTAACCGTAGGAATTATGAAGTTACTGATTTTATTTATTTTAGTCCCCTAAAATAAATTTCAGATCGGGTATTTCCGATCGAGTTTAGATTATTTTATTGACTAAACCAACAATTTTGATGCATCCTAACAGTGCCCTCATCGGATTTTCCCTCTCCGATGTCCATGAAAGATAAACTTACCTCATCTATTCATTTTCAAACATCCAGGTGACAGAGTGGCAACAGAGCCACTGGTTCCATGCCGAAAATGCGATTTATGTCTTACTGGTCGTTGCAACATTTGTCGCAACAAAGTTTGTTTCTGTGGAACTCCAGGATTCGACGGAGGGCTTCGAGCGATTTGCTGTCACCCGGCCAATTTCTGCCACAGGTAATAACTACAATGCAAAGGCATATACGAGTCTAGTCTTTGGCAGCTGTTACCTGAAAACTGAAGTGCTACATGTACGCAAAGGCAAAAATATGCTACTGATATACAACATGTTGAATATCATTGCAATCCTGTTAGATTTTAAACTTTTTCATGTGCATACCCATTTCACGTTTAAGACTCCCAGACAGCTTAACCTTGGAAGAAGGAATGTTATTGGAACCTCTGGCAGTCGGTGTTCATGGTTGTGAGCGTGCAGGCATTAAGCCTGGCTCTAGCGTTCTTGTAACAGGCGCTGGTGAGTATTCATGCTTGTGAGCGTGTGAATTAGCTATATATAATTTATCACAGGTGCCATTTAGTGTTTATGTTGGTTGGCGTCGACCTTGTCCGTAAAACGGCGATAGTGTTCATGTCCATATGTTAGCGTGTAGCACACATTCAAGTAGTCTCTTAATTGTGTGCGTATACCAGGAATGGTAGGTATTACAGAATGATTAATTTATGTAAATGTAATCTAAAAAAGACGGCTAATAGCAAGTATACGTCGCTGAAATGTTTTTCATGAAGACTAATACATATTGGTAATTTTTTGAAGGGGCTGAGTGCATCAGTGGTTGAAAAGAACAAACAAACAAACATACAAACAAACAAAACATGGGATGCAAAATGTGTCTAATTTCAAATCTGAAGTGAACTTTAGCTCTGTTGACTGAACAGTCTGAATGTTATACCTTGCATGTCTACACTTTATGGTCCAGGTGGCAATTTTCATTAACCCCCAATAGACATCACTTTGTCGGTCTGTGTGAAAAATAAGCTATCATCATGACCTATTTTAATTTACTAAGTTTAAGTATGTGTGTAAGTCATTGCCTTTTTAGAATTTCTTTTAGAAAATGCCTTTTGTCACAACCATTAATGCGAATGTTTATTTTGTCGTAGGCCCTATTGGGATAGCAACGCTTCTCACCGCCAAAGCATCAGGCGCAACGAAAGTCTGCATTACAGGTTAGTATTAATTTTACTCTCTCTCTCGTAATTGAATTTTCAAATCCTTTTTAACTCATCAAGCATGTAAAGCTATACGTCTTGTATTTGTGCGTACAGATATTCTCCAGGAGCGCCTTGACTTTGCTAAATCATTGGGGGCAACTCACACCCTCCTTGTCAAGGCTAGCGACGACCCCCAAACCGTTGCCTCCAAAGTAAAAGATTTGATGGGGTGCGAGGCCGAAGCTTCCATTGAGTGCAGTGGTTCCGAGGAAGCCCTGTCTGTGGCCATTTTGGTAACTTTTTCTTTCAAGACACGCAAACGAATTACTAGTTTGAGTGGGTACATGTTAATGACATTGTCCTTATTCTACGTGTATTTCTGTCAGTTCATGGTCAGTGTCAGGCCCACATTTCCCTAAAAATGTCTCTATATAATATCTATAGATTTTCCTTGGCGTTGACTGTCGCAACTACATGTAACCGATCTTATTGTTATCATTGTGCATTCAAATTTTGTTTGATCTGCCCTGCATCTTGTTTTTCTTGTTTTAGGCTACCAAGCCAGGTAAAGTTGTGGCAGTAGTGGGAATTGGAAATATAAACCAAACCATCCCGGCATTCCATGCGCTCCTTAATGAAATTGACATACATTTTAGTTTCACCTTCAGAAAGAGGTAAGTTCTTTTCTTTTAGTTCGATAAAAAGAGATGAAAATATTACCGTAGCTTACTTTTTTTGTCATTCGGATGTAGTTCATTCGTATCTACACACATAAATATATATATATATTTCAGCCATGAAATTGCAATTGAATTAGTGGCCTCTGGCAAAGTGAACATCAAGCCGCTGGTCACTCATCGATTTAAACTGGACAAAGCTGTAGAAGCGTTCGAGTGCGCCAAGAATAGACAAGGAATGAAGGTGGCCATCACATGTAACGACTAACAGCTGTAACAGAAGACAAGACCATGTAGACAGAAAAACAAAAACCAGAGAAGTGTTTTAAAAGTGTATTTGTTTGACAAGACAGTTTGCTTACAAATATACGTTGAGCTTAGATAGGCTTAACAAACGTACAAAACTGTATGTTTAATAAGTAAAGGGACGATTTGTATAACGAATTTCAAAGCATATTGCTTAAAATTGATCAGCATAACTTTGCATGCCGCATTGTTTAAATCTATTTTTTTAATTGGAACGTAATTTGCTTATATCTGTTAGAAAAACCCAGGAATAATTAACAAGAATGATGAAACAGGTTTGCTTTTTATTTTGCAATTTTGCCCTTTTGGGTATAAATATAAAACATATAAATAGGCCTAGAGCATGATAAGATCGTATTAGTTGTTTAAACTTTTCTCATTAATTCCAAAACCACGTGGTGACGAGCTATAAAAATTGATGTGCAGTGACGCCATAACAAAACATTAAGGAAAAACATTGAGCATTTATTAAAAAATAATAACGATAATAAAAGCAGGTTAGTGCAGATGGTACTGTGCAGGCTTTGGTTCGTCATATGTCCAGACAGTCCGCTTTGAAATATTTTGGCAGTATAGGTAATACTGCACATATCCTTGGAACATACTCTACCCTTTTACCCCATCCCAAAGTTGTCAGAAGTCTGTGGAGGCCATCCGGAAGCAGTGGTGCAACTCGCAAGAACACATCAAGTCCAGTTTACTTCAAGCGCTTGATGGGCATATAGTGTACGATGTGTTTATTCCAGTTCTCGTCGATTAATTCAATCATCATTCCAAATTTTTACCCACAACAGAAATTGGCACATTTAACAGCAGATAACCATCCTGATTAGGCTTGTTCAAATCTTCGTTATTGTCATCATTTGACGGTGGTCCTGTCTCGTCTTGTCGCAAAGTGTCTGACCAGATATTCCACTCTTCCCTCGGTGGACCAGGGAAGTTGTTCAGTTCTTTCTCCGCTCTCCCTACATAACCTTTAAACTTGTCGAGGTGAGTGTCATTCAAGCGACCACTGATAGCGGCAGTTCCTGGTGATCTTACAGATGAGACATCAGATTTTGTGCATGGAACATCCGCCCTGTTTTCTGTATCAGATGAGCGAGGCGTAGATACGAATTGCGAACTTCCGCGATACTGCGTATCCAGCAAAGACGTGATTTTTGGATAACCCAAAATACCCCCATGCGTACAGTTTTGTGCTGTTTTGATAGGGGCGTTGTCTGCAACCAAAGGTATGTTTTGTTTTATGTATTCAGCCACCGTCAGTTTGTTTCGTTTCGGTCGTTTGCTGTCCGCTTTAGGCGCTGGTTCATGTTTGGCGTTGGTGGTGCTTTCGGTTGTGTAGATAGCAGTAGTATCCTCGGTCCCCAGGCAGTCTTTCTGTCGGAAGGATGATGAAGGTGTAGTGGTCTGCTGCTGGTCTTGTGCCACGGAGGCTTGGGATTCAGTCAAATCCTTTTCCTTTGCGCTATTCTCGTCATAACCTGGATGGTTATAGATTAAAAGTGGGAACATTGTTTTTGAAAAACAATACAAAATGTGCAGCCATTAATATACTCATATTGGTAACGAAGTATTATATATATATGGAAAAAGAATGAATGAAAAGAAATTAGATTTCCAATGTCTACAAAATAAACTAAAAAATTAATGGAAAAATACATTTATATAAGTAATGGAAAATATGCCGAATATACTGAACGATGGAATATGTTAGGTAATGTGTTTCAGTGACCTCCTTACATTGTGTTTATTTCCCACTGTATATATGTTTATATATGTTTACGAAATGCTATATGATGATTGATATTACTGATATTATTGACAATATTTTGTATGTTTCCTTTGTATGCCTAATGATAATAATAATAAAAATAAAAATAATTAAAAAAAGTGGGAACATTCCCATAAATAAATGAATAAATAATATTTGGGATTGGATGTGTATAAGTGTTTGAGTAAATTATTGCAAAACTGTTTTAAAAATAAAATATCTTCCGCGTCACGTCTTTTTCTGAAGTTAATTTAACAAGAATCGTGAATGCGGATAAGGATGTTGGAAAAAAACTTTAAAAACGACCAGCCAGCACTTACTTTTTGGCAGTTTCGGTGTAATCTGCTCCCCAACATATTCCCCTGTTAATCTAGGAATGGAAAGTTTGTCATTCTCTGAATCATATTCTAACTTGTTACGTCTCCGTAGAGGTGCGGAGACGGCCCGCGTTCCCATGGCGGGAGAGGCATGTCCTACAGAGGAAATCAATTGGAGGTCAGAGTCAGAATACTGCCGCATTCAGAACAGTGGACTAACTAGTCCGCGAGTCATATATGGCGACCCACTAAAAAGCTTGCCGTCTAATCCGCTAATAGACACTTAATGGATTCACCGTGGGGAAGTATTCAAGTGGGAGGGCCATAGTTGATCCGCGGATTACCTAGCCCACTGTTCCAGAACCTCCCCCCCCCCCC